TATGAATAGGTCTAGAATTTACAAAGCTTAACGAAGTTGAGCTATACGTGTATTGCTAGACTTACGCTTCATATTGGAATTGAAAGAGACGAGATCGTACGAGCATGAGCGATCAAGCCTAATAAACAAACATCACGCCAATTCCTCTCCAAGGGTAATCAAATGCTACCTTCGTGTCCTGTATACGGCACTCTAATAGATCGAACATTTGTCGCGGAGGACCTATCAATTTCGGATTGATGCGCTTTTGTGGTCATCTTCAAGCGCTTTGATCACCTTGAGATGGGACGCATTTAGTTCACCCATCATTTCTAACTCCGCTAGAACGCTAGCAAAGTCTTTATCGTGCTCGGTCATCCATCGCAATAGGTTCATCATCACAAAGCCGAAATTAACGTTTCTCATGCTGTACTCGTTATCCCAAGCTTGAAAGTTCCGATGAAGTAACAAATCTTCTAGTGGAAGCTCCCCGGACGAACTCATTTCCAGGATCACATCAGGAAGCGTGTCTTGCTTGACAGTAAGCGAGAGATTCTGCAAGCGCAGTTTAAGCGCCTCAGAAAATGACTTTTCCTTCGTTGCCAATTTAATGACTTCGTCAACGCCGGAGTTGCTGAATTTTTGCTGAATCTTGTTCAGCAGATGTATCATCACCGACGAATCTCTCGGACCATGAATTCGTAGTAGCTCCGATACACCTTCCAAATCCTTGATGTGGCTGACATTGTCAACCCACGCGTCGATCAACAGCTTTTCATACAAGAGAGCGTATTTCCGTGAATCCTTGTCTATCCCAGCAAGCGCGAGTGGTACCTGGACATCCTTGCGGTGTATTCCGAGTTTATTCACAACACCCTCAAAGGTGAGTTTGGCTGCCATTTCTGCGTCGCCATTGCAACCTCTTTTCACAGCGTTAAACCACATCACAAACGGTCGACTCTTAAAAAGCTTTTCTTTTACATTTAAGACCTCATAATATTTAAACAGACGGAGAACAGCGTTCTCTACATCGTGACCAAACAGTATGGACAACTCTGCCACGATCACCATCACACGCTTGGGTACAAAACCAGACAATGTTGTCA